TGAGCCATCTCCCCGGCCCAGTTTAATGATTTTGCAAACTAAACTGTCACAGTATTCCCTATCTAAATACTAGGACACCATACTACAGGAAATAAGAGTGTAAACTTGTATGTGATGTTGTCAAATAAAAATGGCACTTAAATGGTTAAAACAATTTTCTAACTCTTAAACTTTTCTTGCAGAGAGACACATCTCAATTCAAAGGCAGCTTGCTGATCTCGAGAAGTTAGCTTTTGTAACTGAAGGGGATATTGACTCTGCCAGTTCACTGAACTCTGATAATCTTGATGCAGGTATTTCTATACCCCCTACCTCAATTTGATGGGTTATCTTTTAGCTCATAAAAAAGTTTGCTCATAATCAGTTTGTTTATTCTTACTGAATTAGAAGGGTAGAAAAGAAAACTTTTTTTTTTAATCTAGGAAACTGATCACCTTTTATGCACCAAGTTGCTATAGTATAAGTTAAGACTTCTTAAGGCAATAACAGTCTCACAGAAATTTAAGAGCTGCCTCTTCTTGAAGTTAGGTACTGCCTACAAGTAAGAGATACCCCAAATAGTGTTTTAAATAGTACAGAAGTACCTGGGCATGGTGGTGCATGCTTGAAACCCCAACACATGGGAGGCTGAGAGGCAGGAGGCTCACTGGAGTTCAAGGCCAGCCTATTCTGCATAGTGAGAACCTTTCTCAAAAAGACAATAAATAAGTTAAAATTCTATTACATAAGAGTCTCAATTTAGAGGTGGTATAAGAGTTCTACAATATTAGGGCTGGCCAAATAGCTCAGCAAATTAAAGTGCCTGCAAGCAGGTACAGGCGCCAGGGTTCAATCCCCAGGCCTGCCTTGCCATCTCCACCCCGGGGCACACTGAGACAGCATCTGAGACTGGCCATGGTGGCACACGCCTGTATTCCAGCACTTGGGAGGCTGTAAACAAGAGAATCACTAGAATCTCATCTAGTAGTGAGACCTTCAACACCCTGTAGACACATCCATAAAATTCAGAAAAAAAATAAATAAAATGCAATGTTATAAATGTATCACACGTATCTTTTTCTATTCTATTTGCCTGTCTTTAGTGCTTGGTTTTTATTAAGATCACCTCATAGTTTTTGAGGTAGGGAATGTTTATAAAAGATAAATTTTACCTATTGTCATAGTTTTGTACATGTCAAACTTACTAGGTTAAAAACTACTAAATTATTGGTAATTTGTTTTATTACTTGAATTCTTTTGTACACTATTAAAGTTCTTATTTGAGATATATTTCTAATTAAGACTTCTATTTTGGGGCCGGGAGGTGGCTCAGTGGAATAAGCGCTTCCCTGGCAAATGCAAGGGCCTGAGTTCAATCCCTGGTTCCACCAAAAAAAGAAAAAAAAAAGACTTCTATTTTGATGATACATAATCTTTTTAGGACTATGTTAATAAAGGAAGAACGTACAAGTTCACTAGTACAATGAAATTTTGATGGATGACTCTAATCATGATCTTCCATCTCAGAATAGCAATTATATTGTCTCATGTATTCTACTTCCTTCATTTTACTAACTGAAGGACTCTGTCTTTGTTGCTAGCAGAATAATAAAGGAATACCATAGCAGACAATGTGTGCATCTCTGCCCAACTCTTCTGAGAGTATGAGAACTGCTTTCCTTTCCCTGCGGAGTTCAGAGTGATACCCTATATAGCAAACAGTTTAGCTAGAGTCTGTCATACAGTTTATTCTTTATTTAATTTCTCTATTCTTAGTGGCAAAAAGGACCTCAGCTAGCCACAGAGAAAATAAAGAATCATTAATCATATGTACAAGAATGAATTACCTCCTGGGCAAGGGATAGTGACTTTGCCCTAACATGAAGAAAGTTTGGGCCAGGGAGATAGTCCATTTGTATAAGTACCTGCCTGGGAAGCTCAAGTTCCCAAGTTCATTCCCTGGTACAAAAAAAAAAAGAAAGAAAGAAAACAAAGTTTATTAATATGAACCACATTAAACTTCTCCTTTGAGAAGAAAAAGACTCAATTTCAGAAAGGGAGGTGAGCATGGGAAAGGCCCTTTTTAACTCTTTTATAGCTGAGTCCAGGGATTTATACCCAGTATATTTTGTGCTTTATCTGGTCTTTTTTCTTTTTAAGGAAACAAACAGTCTTGCCCACTGTGTCCTAAGGAAAAATTCAGAGCTTGTAACAGTCATAAGCTTCGTCGGCATCTTCAGAATTTACACTGGAAAGTCTCAGTTGAATTTGAAGGTTAGTATATTTGTGCTTACTAAAAAGTTATATAGTCAGGGAGATAGATCAGCGGCATAAGTGCCTGCCTGGCAAGTGCAAGGTCCCAAGTTCGATGCCTGGTACCAAAAAATAAAATAAAATAAAAAGTTGTGTATTTGAAATTCAATTTGGTTACTACAACTTTTGAAATTTTATTATGTAACATAATCAAATATTTTCAGTTTTAAATTATGAAAGATAAAATGTCCCACTTATTTGTTTTATTTTTTATTTTTATGTATTTAGTACAATCGGATCTCACTATGCAACTTGGACTTGTAGTCATGCTCCTATTTCAGCCTCCCCCGTGCTAGGATTGCCTGTGGTGCCAGGGATCGAATCCCAGGCCCTGTGCTTGCACAATTAGGCTCTTAGTCCACTGAGCTATCTCCCTGGCCCATTGTCCCACTTTAATGTATTTAATAAAAGTCCATATAAATCTGTAGGCAATAGATACATATGATACAAGTTCAGTTTAATAAACATTTATAACCAGACATGGTGGCACATGTACCCTAGAAGACTGAGGCAGGAGGATCATAAACCTGAGACCAGCTGGGGCAACTTAGGGACTTAGCAAAACCTGGCTCAAAATAAAATTTTTTTAAAGGCTAGAGATATAACTCAGTACAATGGTCTGGATTCAGTGCCTGGTACCCCAGAAAAATAAAATAATTTATTAAGCACCTGCTCTGGGCTCAATACCCTGGCCTTAGGAATCTGTGTTGCTGATTGAACACTAGTTTAATAAGTTACACATTAGCTGGGTATAGTGTTGCACACCAGTAATCCCATCATGTCAAAAGAAATTATATTAGGCCCCGTATACAGTGCATAATATAGTTAGTATATACAAGTAACAAACATCATTTTCTTTGGTTTGTTGTTGTTGCTTCTTTTGAGACAGTGTCACTGTGTAGTTCAGGCTGGCTTTGAACTCAGTATGTAGCCTCCAAGTTGCAGTGACCCTTCTGCCTCAGGCTCTGTAGTACTGGGATTATAGGCAAGCACCATCATCCCCAGCTAAAAAACTTCTTTTTTTTTTTTTTTCCATATGTTTTTATAACATTAAAGAGTTTGCTGTGGTGGTTCATCTGTGTAACCCCAGCACTTAGAAGACTGAGACAGGAAAATTATGAGTTCAGGTCAGCATGAGATACATACTATATTTTAAGGCCAACTTGAACTACATACTGAGACCCTGGGTGAGGCAGGCAGCCTCCTGGCCACATGTTCAATACAGCTGCTAGGCTATATGAACTGATATTTCAGAGAGAGATTGGGGCTAGAGGTATACATTTGGCAGTTGTCAGAGTATAGTAGTACTTAACTGTGATACGAAATGAGATAACCATATATGTATTTATTGATGAGAAAAACAAGTCAGCCAGGCTGAGTTCTGGGTTAGTTTATATATAAGAGAGATGGCTAAGGTAGACGATACAAGGTATAAGAAGAAAAGAGTAATGACCAATAAGCTAGAAGATAGCTTGACTTAGGAGAAACTAAGTCATCTAAAAAAATGGAACTGGTTCAAAGGAACTGATAAGGACTGGGATGTAGCTCAACGATGGCTACTTGCTAAACAAATGCTAGGCCTTAGGTTCAGTCCCCTGCACTGTAAAACAAGAAGGGACTACAGAATTGTAAACTTAGTTTTGATTAGTAGATTTTGAGATGTTAGCCAAATTAGTCATTCATAGATACTTAATAGGCAATTCGAAATAGTATGGTTCTCAGAGATGATTTATGAACTTCACCTATAATTTGGCATTCTTTCCAATAGGAGAAATAATTGAAATCATGAAAGTAGTTTAAGTTACCATGGAAAAAATGCACATAGCTCACTCAGCCTAAGGAATGTCTATAGTTTAGGGTATGTGGGTCAGATAAAAGATCTGTAAAGAAGATTAAGAAATTTTGGAAAAGAAGCTCAGCATGGTGATACATACTTGTAATCCCAGCACTCACGAGGCTGAGGCAAGAGGACCATGAATTGGAGGCCATCATGGACTACATAGCAAGACTTTCTCTCAGAAAAAACAAAACAGAAAGTGTGCTGGCAAGATAGCTCAACAGACTAAGTGCCTGCTTAGGCAAGCACAGTAACCAGAGTTCAATCCTTGGCACCACCTGCCGTGCCAGCCCCACCCCAGGGCACACTGAGACTGGGCATGTTAGTGCATGCCTATAATCAATCCCAGCACTGGAAAGGCTGAGAACAGGAGGATCACTCCGAGTCCAAGCTGCACAGTGAGACCCTATACCTAATACATTAAAAAAGAAAGAAAGAAAGTGAACCAAGATAGTGTCGTAAATGAAGGAGGGACTGTACAATGGCAAATATAGCACAAAGGTGAAGCTTAAAAATTTGAAGTGACAAATTATATAATAAAACTGAGTACTGTCTGGTATGATCATGAATGCTTATGGTGCCAGCAGCTGAGAAGGCCAAAATAGGTGAGTGGCAAATTTAAGGTTGGCCTGGGCAATTCAGTAAGATCCTGTCTCAAAATGAAACTAAAAGGGACTAGGGATGTAGTCCAGTCCAAGAGAACTTGACCAATACAGCTAATCTAAAATAAAATGGAATAAAATCAATATCCAAACCTAGATCTCCTGTATTTATGTATAGCTCATATATAAGCCAAAGCATCACTTAGGTAATTACGACATAAGTATGAAGTGAATCCCAGCCAGGCGTGGTGTTGAATGCCTGTAATCCCAAGAGGATTTGGGCAAGTTTGAGTTCAGCCTGGGCTACAGAGTTCAAAGCCAACCTAAACTGCAAAGTGAAAGTGTCTCCAAAAAAAAAAAAAAAGAGAGGGGAAGAGAGAAAGAAAAAAGTTAATTATATTTCTTAGCAAATAAAATTTGTTCATTTTTAATGCTGTCTGTGTATTTAGTGACAACCAACCATTCTTCATTCTAGGTTACAGGATGTGCATCTGTCACTTACCTTGTCGACCAGTGAAACCAAACATTATTGGAGAACAGGTAACCAACCAGATGTTAGATTTATTTGAAATTTTATCTTCTTTAAAGAAAACACAATTTTTACTTGCTTAATAATGACACTTGTTCCTAGCCAAAGGGTTAAGAAGTTAATTATGATTTAAAACAAAAATGTACATATCAGCAGTACAGTTTACTTTAAAATTCTTTATCTGAGTGCTTGTAGAGGGACATAACTAGAAAAATATGAGAAATGTATAGTGTAAGCATTCAAGTTCACTAACTTGTTTCTCTCTCCCTTCATGATAGTATCACTATATTTTTGTTAAGTAAGAAAACTTTGGATATGAAAAAGAAATAAGAATAACAAAATAAGGAGGAAAACATGAAATGTATAAAAATCTGTTGTATTGAACTTTTTTACAGTTTTTAATTTTAGTTAAATTGCTTTTGTGTTCAAAATGCAAACTCACTTAGTTGAAATGGAAGTTTTGTTTTGTTTGTATTTTAGGGAAGGGCCTACAGGGTATTCAGTATCTCACTACTAGATTGGACTCTTAGTGATCCCCCTGTTTACAGCCTCCCAAGACCTGGGATTACAGGCGTATATGACCACACCCACCTGGTCTCAATTGCCATCTCAGCGTACCCCAGGGGTGGGGCTGGGCAGGAAGGTGATCAACCCCAGACCCTGCACTTGCTTGCAGGTGCTTTAATTTGGTGGGCTATTTGGCCAGCCCTGAAATGGAGAATTTAAATATAGTAATTTTTTAAATTTTCTTTGTGTATTGCAAACATGTACTAATAAAAAAAATTAATAAAAAACAAAATGAATATTGTATTCCTAGCTACTCAGGAGGCCAAGGCAGGAGGGTAACATATTTATGGCCAGCCGAGGCAATTTAATAAGACCCCAAATCCAAAAAAAATTTTAAAAGGGCTAGGGAGGTACCTCAGTAGTACAGTGCTTGCTGGCATTGTGAGGCCCTCAGTTCAGTATCAAGTAGTAGGAAAAAATTAAAAATGTAAAAAAATAAAATAAAATTTGATCATGAAATAGGCGATCTAAATTCCTATGAGTTAGTAAATGTCATAGTATGTTTCAATTTCATACTCATTTTTCCATGATTTCCCTTTTAAAGTTAAATTCAACAGAATCAAGAAACTCTGAAATTGAATACTGTAACTTTAAATATAAGTGTGTGTTTTCTTAAGAGTTCACCAAAGGAAAATACAACTAAAATGTTTAATGATATGATCCTGAATGTGTTTTATCTTGATAGGTCTTCATGTAGAATTTTTCCTTTAAGTAACTGAAAACAATAAAGTGATGAGAAGAAAGGATTCTTGAGCTGCAAGTATAGCGTAGTTAGTAATGAGAGTACTTGCCTAACAGAGCTCTCTGGCTTTGATACCTAGCACAGCCAAAGAAAGAAAAAAGAAAAAAATTGCCTTCAACAGCAGTAAGTACATTGACTTGCCCATCAACCTAACCCAAAGTACTTTTAGTGTAGTAACCATAGAAATCATGTATAATAGGCCAGCCAGATAGCTCAGGGACTAAAGCACCTGCCTAGGCAGACACAGGAGCCAAAGGTTCGATCCCAGGTTTGCCGTGCCGGGCCCGCCCCTGTGGTGTGCTGAGATGGAGCGTGGTGGCTTGCACCTGTAATCCCAGCACTT